AAGAGGAGAAGCCAGCCACACCCATTCAGATTGTGGAGCACTTTTCTTCCGAGATAAAGCCCTTCAGAGAAGCTTGCTAAGGCACAGGATGGTTTAAACTGTTGCTTCTCAACCTGTAGGTCACAACCCCTTGGTGAGGCTTGAATGACCATTTCACAGGGGTCGCCTGAGGCTGTCAGAAAACAGATATTTACATTACAATTCATAACAGTAGCAAAATTACAGTTATGAAGTAGCAATGAAAAGAGTTAGGGTTGGAGGTCACCACAACATGAGGAACTGTATTAAAGGGTCTCAGGAAGGTTGAGAACTGGGGTACTAAGGGGAGGTAAAACATTCTGCAGGGAAGCTCAGGAAGTAAATAACCCGAAGGGCTCTGATGAAACTGACCACCTAGGTTCCTCTCTCCTCCCCAAATGTGTGTAACCTGTAAGGACTGCCAAGAGACCCTCAGATCAGCCGAGCTGCCTAGAAGAGGCTCAGACCAGCTGAGCCAGGACACCCTCCCACCTGTGAGCTGCCTCAGGCTGTGTGATGCATTGCAGGTTTCCAGCTTTTGTGAGCCAGCACCCATTGCCGGGGTGAGCTTTTGGTGATGTACCTGTTTTTGAGTCATTTCTGCTCCCATTAATTAACCCCAATAAGACTCATTTGTTTGCCAAGTTGAATTTGGGTGGCGTCTTCACTGTGATCTATCATCAGCTTGTGAGCCGCGGTGAGCAGACTTGTGTGTGTGTCTCCAGCAATCATGGAACACAGCACTCGTGAGGATTTTCATGTTTCGGGCTGAAAAACACTCTGACGTTTTACACGAAACAGTAACCACCCACACCCAGTAGTGCTCTGTAAGTTTTAGTAACCGGTTTGAATGATAAATTTTCAAAAATTTAGAACTTAAAATTTGAATGTCGTGACCTCATTCTTTGGTAAAATAAAAGTTGTTACCGGAAAATGAAGTGTCACACAAAGTAATCAGTCCCCTTTAATTAATTTTGATGCAACACCATAAGATGCCCTTTTAGATTGTTACAAATGTTTCCAAATGCTCAGCTATTCATGACCATCACCAGTCCATAGATCATGTTTTCCGCAGAGCCAAGAATAGCTCCGTCCCCGTTGGTGAGAAGCGTGTCAACACTGGAAGTGCAGGTCAGCTGTAAGAAAATCCTCAGGAGAGGAGAGCGGCTGCTCAGCCTCATGTGACTCGGGGTTTGTGAATCTCCATAGCGGTCGCTTTAGTCACAAAGCCCTGGAGTCTCATCACCCCCAGCACAGTGGCAAGTCAGTAAGCGTAAGCTGGGGAATGAACACGTTCATTCATCTGTCCATGTAAAACGGCCCTTGTCTCCGAGGGGAAGAGATGGTTTATTTTTGGGCTAAGTAATGAGTGATCATAGCCCACAAATTCAGGTTTTTCCATGTTCTGAAGTGGATTCAAGTTCATCGTATAGTTACAGAATAGTCACCAGGCACTTCTCAAATGCGTTGGTGGGAGGGGCTGGGCTAGTTTGGGTTGGTGGAAGTGAGTGGCCTGTTAATGCCTTCCAAAAAGACCTTGGACTACCTGGTAGTCCAAGGGTGTTACGTCAGACGTAAAAATGAGAGTGAAGGACTTTAATGGGTTTGAAATAAAGATAACTTGGTTATGGATCTGCAACGTCCCAACTACACAGCAATCCCGAAGCTTTAATCAGTCAACCTTGTAGACCCTTTAGCTTAAGTATGGCTTCCCCATCCATACTCCTGGGAAATTCACTTCCCAGATGTCCAGTAGGAATTGATCTGTTGAGACCAGTCAAGTAGTTGAGGGTAATTGTTCTAGGTTGGCAGGATGAATACGTGGAAAGGAAACCAGAGGCAAACTATGACTGTTCTTGATTAGTTCCAAAGCATAAATGCATCTCTCTCTCTCTCTCTCTCTCTCTCTCTCTCTCTCTCTCTCTCCACAATTTGTGTTACATAGTGTTGAGGGAAGCAAGTATCATTTCAAAAAAATATAGCTGTTTTGGTAAATGAGACTAAAAAACCAAAAACCTACTAGGAAGCTGTAAAAAAAAAAAAGCATAAAAAAAAACAAACGAAAACCACCTGTGCTGCCGGGCTAGCATTCTGCTGGTCTCTGCAGAAGCACAGTGCTGTGCTAAGGCTAGCCTTGGAACTGCAGAGCCATAGTCTTTATGAGTGCCTCTGCCCACCTGCCAAAGATGGTCACACGCATACAGACATGCACTAATGGCCAGGGCACACACCCATTGGCCTACTTCAAGTCCCCATCTCCCAGATTTTATCACTCCCCAGCGACGCCATCAAGCTATGAACCCATGAGTGGACTAATCCTCTGTCGACATCAGAGCTCCTATACTCTAGCTCCTCCCCAAAGCCCATCAGCTGACGGCCAACTCTAACACATGAGCCTCCTTTGGGCTACATTATCTGTTTCTGAAATGCCATCCATCTCCCGTACTAAATCATTGTGTGTTATTGAGTGTGTAGGAAACATTTACAGGGAGACTCTAGTGTTTGCTTTACAAATCAGGGTCTTGCCGTGAACCCCAGGTTGGCCTTGGGCTCCGCTGTGCAGTCTCAATTACCCTCAAACTTGTGATTCTCCAGCCTTAGCTTCACTTGAGTGCTAGGATTACAGACCTGAGCCGTTTGGTTTACAGGAAGGCTTAGGAAAGTGATCCAGGCTATACTGTCTGAGCTCCAGTATATTAAACACTTTGAGCTGCTGTGAAATTGGAGCACTCGTTGGCCTAGTGATTCACTACTTGGGTCTGGTGGGCCACGGCTCTTGAGAGAGGCAACATGAATGTATTGATAGTAGGGCTGGGTGCCAGGCACGGAGTCCAGGCCTTTCACACACTAAGCAAGTGCTGGACTGCTGAGCTGCACTCCGCCCAGTCTGAACCTTCCTTTCTGCTTTTTCTTTGGCAAAGCTCAGGGAGCCCCAGGGAAAGTAAACTGGCCATGACTTTCATAAATACTACGAGTCAGTAATGTTACAGACCGTTTCTGAGCATGTGAGAGCTCTTTTGTTAGAGGCCTCCTCTTAATCACCACTAATTGGATTTTGCAGGCTGTTGATTCTCATGTGTGTGTGACATCATACATCTATGTAAAATATCTGGCCTTCATCTGCCTTTTCCAAGACCATGTGACAGTTATGGAGTCACGTAACTGACTCCTCTCCCAGCATGACCCCCAGGACCTTCGGTGAGTCCTCCCCTTGCTGTTCTCCCCGGTCAGATTCTGCCCTTCGGGGCTTGTCTTGTACTCGATTGTCCAAGACCAAGTGCTTCACTGAACATTTCTAACACAGCAGGCAGAGGTCAGCACCTTGCCTGGTGCTTGTTTTGTAGTTTTCATTGCTGTCAAGGCAGAGTGGTAAGGGGTTTAAAGACACCTACACACTGTCTTGTGTAGCCACTACAGTGGCACAGGTATGTTTGTCGGTGACTTAGCCTACTCATGTGAGCAGTGTCTGGCAAGCCAGTCATCTAGAGGACCGGTGAGTCAAAGGGCACACTGAAGAAGTCGGTTGTTTTGAAATGTCCCATTGAGAAGAAAGCAAATTGAAACTTGTGCTATCTCTGAGGTTAAGAAATTTTATTAAAAGCATAGAGAAATATCCAAGGATCCATTGTTCCTTAATTCAGCGCCATGAAATACCTAGTCTCCTTGAGAAATGGGTTACCCAGCAACAAGAAACCCATGTGGTCAAGGGCAGTGAAACACAGGCCTAGGCATTGCAGTTCATTTGGTTCGCTTAAACACTGAGCAGTAAATACTGTGTGGTAGAGCCTCGTTGCAAATGATGTTTGCATCAGCTGATCGACAGCATGGATTCATGAGGGTTTTGGCTTTTGGAAATGTTTACGGCAGGGACAGGTGCTCTCAACTTTTGCTTTGGACTTTAGTGATGGCAAAGAATCTAAAAAGGAAAACTTTTCTGGGGGCTGAGCTGCAGATTCGGATACTTATGTATCTTTGGATGTCTGGTAAGCTTGAAGTTCCTCCAGCCCATACCCAGAGATTTTGGTTGAGCTAGGTGTGTACCATGAAAACTTAATGCATTCCTTAGGTGATTCTAATAGAGACCATCAGTTGAAAAACAAGATTAAGACGGGGTAGGAGAGAATTGAATTGGTATTGTTTAAGGCACCATTCACAATCATGACAGGACCTCATTTTGGTGGATTCCTTCCAGATCTCAAATATTATGTCCACCTGCTCCAGACATAGCGTTTTACATGTATGTTGTGAGAAGTCACATTTAGGGGATAAGGCCTAGCATTGCCCCTTATTTTTATTTATGTGTATGTGTCTTTGGAATGTATACCATGTGTGTGAGTACCCCGGAGGCTAGAATGCATCGGATCCCTGGAACGGTAGCTACAGGAGGCTGTGAACTGCTGGGACTAAACTCTGGTCCTCTCCAAGAGCAGTGGGCATTCTTTCTCACCACGTCATCACTCCAGCCCCCTCACTGGGCAGCAGAGGTCATCATTTTCAGCCTCATAGCCTAAGGTCACTTCAGGTGTCAGTCTGAGGCTACGTGCCCCTGATTTGTAACCTGGCTAAGGATTCTTTTTACCAGAATGTCAATTATATCGCTGGGCACAGCAGAGGGATCAGGCTGGGGGCAAGTAGATTCAGTACCAACTTGACTAACATTTGAGCCGCGGAGTGTGCAAACAGCGTTTGGTGTTAGAGGAGCATCTTTCTCTATGACCCTGGGTGGGAGAAGTAGAAGAGACCGGCCACCATAGACCAGCTCTGCTCACTAGACCCGACTTCAGATAACTGGCTAGAATTCCTACGGTTTGACTTGGTTCCTTGGCTCAATCTAGCCTGTCCAACTGCGGAAATGCCAATGAAAGAAAATGCAGTTAGAATATTTGGAGAACGGGCTAACTCGTCAGTCTGTGGCTTCTGGATAAAGGGAAGAGTGGTGGACAAGGCAGTGTCTTCCCCAAAGAAGTGGGAGCTGAGTCTGGTGAGCACTTCGGTTTTTTATTTTAAAGATTTGAAGATTTTATTTTTAAGGTGTGTGTGTGTGTGTGTGTGTTCAGGTGCCTGTAGCAGCCAGAGACATTAGATACCTGTTGGGGCTGTAGTTGCAGGGGGCCATGGGTGCTGGGAAGTGAACTCAGGTCCTCTAAAAGAGCAGGGCACAATGTTCTCTGAGTCATCTTTCCAGTCCTCTGGTGAACACGATTGGCAGCTGTTCAGAATCATCCTATACTTGCTATTGCTAGATTAGATTCTCCGTTCTTCACTTGTTCATCCCAATGCCCATACTCGACAATGATGACCAAGACAGAGGTCTCTGCTAATGAAACCGTCTGGAACCCTAGAATTCAAGGATACAGTTATTTCAAGGAACAACGTCCAGTATTCATTCAGCTCACTCAGTACACACTGAGGATCTTTTCTGTACCACCCAGGGCCATGTTGGGGGCTGCAGACTCCTGGCCCCTAAGTTTCTTTGCCTGCCTCAGACCCTTTGCCTGCTGGAGTGAAACAGCTTGTTTTCCTGTGTCTGCAGCTGCTCTGAGCACGAGACCCTCATGAATTCCTGATGGCAGGGGAATGAATTCTGGTGGGTTTTACAGCTGGAAATCCCAAGATCTGGGGCGTGGCTGTCAGATAAGGATCCCTACATAAGCTTCCCTGGAGCACAGTAAAGTTGGGATTCTTATTTCAAGATGACCCGAGTCCCTGTGTCTCTCTCTGTCTGTATGCATGTATTTTTAAATCTCCAGTCCTTTTCCCAGCTCGTGTACCATCCCATAGGGCAGGCACTATAGGTCCAAACCAACAAATGACACACGATCCCTCATGTAAGCAGCTAAATCCAAAAAAGCCTCCACCCAGTACATAACCATGAGCTGTGGACCCGCTGATGAGAGGCAACTGCTTTGATAATCATCAGGTATACATTTCAGTCTAATCAAATCTGGCAAATGCTTATTTTCTCAGTTGGAGTTATTTTGATATTGAAATACAGCGAGTACTGACCTTTTGTTCCACACACTTAGGCAAAATGTACAACGAAATGAGCTTCCCATTGCCTCCATCTTCCAGCCGAAGCTGCAGCCAGCTTCCATCCCTGGAAACAGCCAGGGCTCCTGCTTGCTTACATGACAGCTGTGAGGTCCTGTGTCAGATTTACACAGTGCTCCTGCTCTCCTGACATTTCCTTTCTTTAAAAAACAAACAGACAAACAAAGAAGTGGTTAAAGGTCATTTGTGCTCGCTCCCTTCCACTGGCGTTAGTGTTTCTACCCACAGTGACAGGGAGAACTGCCAGTTCAGACCAACTCACTCAAGCTGGTGGAGCTGGGACAGTGGTGCAAATGGTCACACTCAGAGCAGGACAGAGGTGATACGTGTGGACAGCTGTCTCTGTGAGACAGGGGGATAAGCTCTCCCCACCAGATTTAAATGCATCAGTGAGACAAATTTTTAAAAGTGAAGGTGGTGGTGGTGGTGGGAAATCCAAATAATCACTCAATGTGAGCTGAATTTTTAAGTTCTTCCAAGATAGCTCAGCTATAACAGTAGCAGTCCAGGTGTTTCCATAGCTTGACTGTAACAGTGGCAATCCAGATGTTTCCAAGACACCTCAACTATAGCAGTAGCAATCCAGATGCTTCCAAGAAGAGAAGGCAGAGCCCTGGCTTTCCTGGCAGTCCTGTGTCAGGCTCCCAAGGCTGCTGCTGCTGCTGCTTTGGTAACTTCTCCATCTCAAAGATGGGAAGAGCCAGGATCATAAACGAAGTGGCCCCAGTTCACAATGCTGCAGTGGAGAAAGATGTGTCTTTTGGGCCACAAAGTGGGAGAGATCAAAAGTGGCTCTGGCGGTACCGTCGTCAGGTCCAGAGTCCTTCCACAGTGTCCTCGGGCTGTCCCCTGTCGTCCTCTTGGTCGTTCTCACCCTTTCATCCTGCAGAGGATACAGGGGTGGCCAGTGTGGGAGCAGTGGCCATGATGGTGTGGGGCAGCAAACCGTTCTGAGTACTGACTTGGTACCTGGTGTTATTCCATTGGGACACTTTAAGAACTAACCACGCCCATCCCAGCCACTTTTGACCCTCCCCCCGCCGCCATCTTCTCTCTCTCTCTCTGGTGCATGTGTGTGGGTACGTGCGTGCGTGTGTGTGTGTGTGTGTGTGTGTGTGTGTGTGTGTGTGTGTGTGTCTTTGTTTTTTCTGTGTTTGTCTATGTTTTCCTTTCTTTAAGTAATAAATGTCTAGCTTTATGTATAGCCTTATGTCCATTTACTCTGCCGTCCACCGCATCCAGCCGCCTGACTCTGCCGCTCGCCCGGGGACCCTGCACTGCTTTGGCGGCAGCAGCCTCTGTCTGGCTCGCATGCCGCCGGGGCCATCCCATCATCATATTCTTTTAAAAAGAACAATACCTGGTGTCGCGCTAAGTATTCAAGACAGAAACTGCTTGGATCTGGTCTCTCCTCAGTTCTCATTTGATTTTGTGACTGATTGGTCCGGGTTTGGCAATTTCAACCGCTGTTCCTCCTATATTCTTTGAGTGTAGCAGCCAGGCAGACATCCCAGGATGAAGGGAATTTGAATCGAAAGATCTGTTAAAATGCTTTTGGCTTGTCCTGATTAGCTCTGGTGGTCAATGTGACATTGCCTCACCTGAAATATTGTCTAGATCAGACTGGCCTGTGGGCGTGTTTGTGAGGGACTATCTTGATTGTATTAGTGTAGGAGGGGCCAGGCCAGTGTGGGCAGTGTCATTTGCTGGACAGGTGGTCCTGGATGGAGGTATAAGAGTGAACAAGCAGCCTTCCTTCAGGGCTTCTTTTTCCAGTGTCTGCCCTTACTCCCATCATTGGTGGATTATGACCTGTAAGTGTAAGCCAGGGAAACCCTTTCTTTCCTCCTCAGATTGCTTTGGTCAGAATGTTTTTGTCACGGTGGTAGAATGAGAGGAGGCCAGGTCATCGAGTCCCCAACCAACTGGCTGAGCTGGCACCAACCCAGCAGAACTCCAGCTGCTGTTGAACATCTGTGAGAAAATCACATTGTTTGAATCAAAGTGATCGCAGACAGGGTTTGCTTATCCCCTTTTTACCACCGTATCTGGGGGCCTTCTATGTGCCAGCTGCACTTTTCAGACGCTGGGTTGCACCAGTGAACACAACAGGCACATGTGCATGCCTGCCCTCAGGTAGCTCGGGACCTGACCCAATATCTGAATGTCTCTTGAGAGTTGGCCATGCCTCTCAATGGACATTTTCACTCTAAGGGACTCCTTGCTAATCAGAGTTTCCCGTTCTCAACGAACTCTGAGCATTGGAAAGATTCCAAGTAGAGGATGTCAAACCTCTCTGCCTGTAGCGTTGATTCGCATGTTTGACCGAGGTTCTTCTGTCTTCAGTCAGCTATGTATATAGTTAACTCTTGTTTCACATAGTGGAAAATATCTTTGTTTCTTTCGCCTCCCCCCCTGCCATTTTGTGTGTAGAAATACACGTGAACACAGGGACACTGCTAAGGCAGCTGCATCTTGGCTTTGCATGGATATCTTCAGGCTGCAGTTTTCAGAGTCCCCTGAAGTACAGGCGCGGAGTGCTTTTTTCACCATGGCTGAAATACAGACTAACCCTTTCATGCGCACAGTCACAACAGCCCTTTGTGTTGTGGGTCACCTGTGGGTGACAGGTGACCCTGAGAAGCAAAGGCTAAGTGACTCACTCAGGGTCTCTCAGTGCCACGACCTGGGCCAGCCTTTCTGCCTTGGCTGTGTCTTTTCATGGCTCTTCCTTCACTGTGCTGGCTTTTTGGAGACGTGATGTTAGGCTTTAAAATTTTTCTGTCCTTTGTAGTCGTTGCTGAAAGAATCGTGAACTCAATCCGGAAGGGTCTTTGTCCAAGTGTTAGCAGGACAGCAGTGGGCTACTCCTGGCAGTATTTATAACACCCCAGTTCTTTGTTCCCCAGTCTTTCCCCCCCTCCGTTCAGTTTGCCCACCTTTCTGCTCTCTGTTTTTAAGTTTCGCTTTTTTTCCCTTTCTGGTTCATGGGCTTTAATCTTAGGGATGAGAGGATCCAGTGACCTCAGAGCTGACACATTGTCGGTCCCTGTCAGGAGCGGAGGTTAGACTTTCAGCGCCTCTGAATCCACAAGGGTGGAGTAGGGAGTTAAATGCTAACCCGACTGGTAGGTATCCAGACTGTAAAGTACATTGCCCCAAGAAGAGCTTTCATGCCCCAGGTGGGGAGGCAGTGCTAAAGCACACAAAGGAAGTATGCCACTTTGCAAATGGCTGCTGAGTGAGAGCACTGGTTAAGGACACAGAACACATTTATAATGAAAGGGGGCTTTTTCATGAGTACATTCCAGAAAGGCTGTCAGTGCAGCCCAGGAGTAGCCACAGACCTGAGGGACGGATGTGACCAACTCCCTAGAGGTGACAAAATGAGACAACCCTTCTGTCCATGAGTGACAAGGAGTTCACCTCTGTCCCACCTGCCATCAGTAAAGGGCCGTGTCTGGGGGGTGTGGCCAACACTGACTTCCATGCCTACTGTAAGTTAGTGCCTTGGGTCAACACAGCTCAATATGTTTTCCTCTCTTCTACACAAGACAGTGTTCCAATTAAGCACCCAGTGATTATCTGCTTTTATCTCATAAGATCTCAGCCATCTATAAGGCAGTGCCAGAGATTTATTTTCTTCGTCAGTCCATGGTATTCGTTACCAGCTAAAGGTACCTCCCTGGCTTTCTGTTGTGACACCATCTGGTCTAGTGCTCTCATCCTATGCATGTAGGGGATTCCTTTCTGAATGGTAAAACCTCTGCCTCCCATCCACTGTAGCTCCGATTCCAGGGTTTCATAGACTCTTCTATCAGCACTGGGACCTTTCGTGGCTTGCAAGGAAACCCTGATGCCTTCTGCTGAACAAAGTGTGAACCAAGTGCTTAGATACCAGAGGGATCTGGGAAGACAAAGACGGCAGAAGGAAGCAACACCTCTGCCCTTTAGGGGTTTAAAGCCTAAAGCTGGTGGGGGAGGGGAATCTTCTGCTTTCACTAGAAGGCGATTTCTGCAGACATAGAAGCTCCAAGGAGTGGGAGCAGTGCTTCACTATGCTGAACATCAGGGGGAGGCTTTCAAAGCCAGATCTGGAAGAACGAATGTAGCAGGGGAGGGTAGGTAGGCGGGAAGGCTTTCCTGGTAAGAAGTGGCCCAGATGCATGCATGTAGGTAGGTCCCAAGTGCACCAAGCTGTGAACCAGTAGGGCACAGTCATGAAGGAGTGACTGGAACTAGGGGGCTGGTGGGGGAAGTGGAGGAACTGTGTTCCTTTGGACTTTCCTAAGCTCCCTGCAGCCAGGAAGGCTCAAGGCACAAAAGAACTTAACTGTATGAAGAATGGGTTAAATTTCCCCACTCTCCCACCAAGTTGGTTGTCCCAACACTGTTTATACCAAGTGTCAGCATAGCGCTATCTACATAGTCTTGTGTCATTGGCTCTGTTTGGGGACTTTCCCTCTTCTTTAGTGATCTGGTTGTCTA